CAAAAATGAAAATCCTCCCATCATTTACAGTAATCAGCCTTCAGTGGCAAAAGAAGCCTTCTTGAACACAAAAGGTGAAATTTTGAAATGCTGTTATCCATTGCCTTTCGCAATATTTTCTCCCGTCTTTGTAAGTTGATGGCTGCCAGCAACCAGCAATCGTCAATATACAGTATCATTTTGTGTTCAACAGAAGAAAGAAACTAACAACAATACATGTGGAACAATAAATGTGAAAAGTATTTTTCATTTTTGGGGGGAACTATCATTTTAAAATGTTGCTATTTACAATCCTAGAATGTAAAAGTCTTTCTAAAATGTGTGTATTATGATTGAATGGTTTATTCATTCATTCATTCATTTTCTTTTCGGCTCAGTCCCTTTATTAATCTGGGGTCACCACAGCAGAATGAACCGCCAACTTTCCAGCAAGTTTTTATGCAGCGGATGCCCTTCCAGCCGCAACCCATCTCTGGAAAACGATTTAATGGTTTAAATGTTTACATACATACATATAATATGTAAACTCACTGGCCACTTTATTAGGTTCACCTTACTAGTACCAGGATGGACCCCCTTTTACCTTCAGAACTGCCTTAATTATTTGTGGCATAGATTCAACAAGGTACTGGAAATATTTTTCAGAGATTTTAGTCCATATTTACATGATAGCATCACGCACGCATGATGCAAATCTCCCATTGCGCCACATCCCAAATGTGCTCTACTGGACTGAGATCGGGTAACTGTGGAGGCCATTTGAGTACAGTTAACTCATTGCCATGTTCAAAACTCCAGATTCACGCATTATGACATGGTCTGTTATCCTGCGGGAAGTTGCCATCAGAAGATGGGTACACTGTGGTCATATTGGGATGAACATGGTCAGCAACAATACTCAGGTAGGCTGTGGTGTTGACACAATGCTTAATTGGTACTAATGGGCCCAAAGTGCCAAGAAAATATCCCCTAAACCATTACACCACCAGCCTGAACTGTTGATAAAAGGCAGGATGGATTCATGCTTTTATGTTGTTGATACCAAATTTTGACCCCACCAACCACATTTTGCAGCAAAAAAATCAAGACTCATCAGATCAGTTAACTTTTCCAATTTTTTATTGTCCAATTTTGATGAGCCTGTGTGAACTGTAGCTTCAGTTTCCTGTTCTGAGCGGACCGGAGTGGCTCCTGGTGTGGTCTTCTGCTGCTGTAGCCCATCCGCCTCAAGGTTGGATCTGTTGTTCATTCAGAGATGCTCTTCTACATACTTCAGTTGTATTGAGTGATTATTTGGGGTACTGTTGCCTAAGGCATTTGTGCCCACAGAACTGCCTCTCTAAACCCTAGAGATGGTTGTGCATGAAAATCCCAGTAGATCAGCAATTTCTAAAATAGGCAGGGCAAGGCAAGGCAAGGCAAGTTTATTTAGCACATTTCATACACAGTGACAATTCAAATACTTAGACCAGCTTGTCTGGCACCAACCACCATGTCATGTTCAAAGTCACTTAAATCACCTTTCTTCCCCATTCTGATGCTTGGTTTAAACTGCAGCAGATTGTCTTGATCATTTCTACATGATTAAATTCATTGAGTTGCTGCCATGTGATTGACTGATCACAAATTTGCATTAAGGAGCAGTGTACCAAATAAAGTGGTGGTGAGTGTATATACATATAATATTTACATAGTTATAATATATATTAGTACTTTTAAATAATATTTTATACCCGATTTGTTTTAAAGAGCTTTAAAATGGAAATATTAATATATATAATTTGTTCATTTTAAGTGCCATTTAGAGAATTAAAAGCTAATTTAAAAGTATGAAAAGCATAAAATTATAATTTGTTAATGACTTAAACATTCAGTTTATGCCTATTGCATTAATATAGTTTTTCGTTTTATGTAATACTTAATAGTAATAGTACTGCTATAATTAATGTGAATTTACAGAAATAGAAGAAATTTTAGTGACTCTGGCTTTAGGTGTGTTTGAGTAAAATGTTGATATTTGTCTTATTCTGTAAAGGAAACTTAAAAAAACAAATGATAATATAGAGGCCTTTTAAAAATTGATTTTGTTAGTTGCGGGTTATTAAAAGTATCTGGAATGTCTTGTTTTGTTATTTTGACCTATTGTAGTTGAATGATTTTTAAGCATTATTCATAGGAAATGTCATCAGTTGTTCACAGAACCAAAGCAATATATATATATTTAGATTTATTTATTTATTTGTTCGTTTATTGTGTTTATTTATTTTAAATATCTAATTAATTGTGCTCTTAAAACTGCAAAGTAGACTGTTTATTGTGAACTGCTGGACCGCCAGATAGCATTCTTGTGGTGCAATCAGCCAATTAGCTTTGTGAAGATGCAATTTAGTGTGGCTCCAGAGTAATTAATCATTTATGCCTCATTTATTGGCTCAAAGCAAACTGGCTGCTAAATTGAGCCAGAAAGCTAATGGACAGCTTTTACCAGGTGTTAGACCTCGCTGGGCCAATATGCCAGAATGGCTTTAGTGTGTTCGAGAACTGGGGTTCAGACATACCGAGAGCTTTTTACAACGAAGCAGTTCAGGTGTAAGTGCTGCCCTTGAGTTGAATAAGAGTCCACGTCGCGCTGTTGCTTGCTGCTCCACATAGACTTTAATTAACAGTGAGCGTACAGAGGGGAGGAGGGCAGGCGCCATGGTCCTCGTTTGATGTATTACAGAGCAGCCTGGGCTTGACACTCGGTTGGAAAGCAAAGAGGCAGAGCGGATCTTACTGACCACTTCTTAAGAGTCGGTCAATCAGGTGTGGGTTGACATTTTCTCTTGCATGAAATTACTGTATGCAAGGATATGGGATACATATATACTATGCAATTCCAGCCTGCAGAACTGTGGATGTGTTGCACAAGTTTTTTGCATGATACATTTTTGATCCTTAATTGTTGTGTTGTTGCATTACATTACATTGTTACATAGCTAACAGCCAGTACTTTTTCTGTAAGTACTTAATTTTTTATATACAGTCAAAGTTAGTGGATTTTTTTTCTTCAAATATTTCTCAAATGATGTTTAACAGAGCAAGACATTTGTTTACAGTATTTCCTGTAATATTTTTTTTTTCATTCCGGAGAAAGACTTATTTGTTTTACTTTGGCTAGAATGAAAAACTGCTTTTACATTTAAAATTATATTTCATGGTCAATATTATTAGCCCCTTAAGAAACATTGTTTTTTATTGTCTACAGAATAAACTATTAGGTCGAGAAATGTTTTGAAAAAAATCTTTGCATTGAACAGAAATTGGGGGAAAATCTAATAAAACTAAAGGGTATCAATGATGAAAATCAACTTTTGTAAGCTGTTTGGACAGAACTGTCTGTATTTAGTGTGTCCACTGTCAAATTGAAATGATATAATGATATAAAAGTCACTTAGTTATTCTGCAGGCAAATTTTCTACATCCAAAGTGCAGGGCAGAGATTAACGTACCATAATGCAATTCATAAAAAATAAGAAGGCTGCAATACACTGTTAGGACAGCTAAGAGGATAATTGGTGTGCACCTGCCCGACCTTCAGGACTTAAATCTTTAGAATGAGGAAACGGGCAGGTAACATCACTCAGGACCCCTCTCACCCAGGCCACAAAATGTTTCTTCAGGCAGACGCTACAAATCTCTATGCACTAAAACATCTAGGCATAAAAGCTTATTTCCAATGTGAATAGCTAGGACGTCCATTGCTGCTTATTTTTATTGTCAAACAATACAGTACTATTATTGCGTTTATCGTTGCTGTAAACTAGAAACCACTTATGTAAATGCACATTTTTGTTTTATATAGTTTAAACACTCAAAAATATTGGATGATATAATTTTTTTTAATTTTCCAATTTAAATGTTTTTTCTGTCTTCCATATGTATTTGTATGCACTCTGAGCCCCCCATCCCCCCCCCCCCCCTCCTTCTTTGAACTTTTTAAAGTTTACTATAAATATTTTAGAAATGATTAAATATTTGCTAAAAAATTGACAAATACATGTATAGGCTTATATACAATTTAAAGAAAAGATTCTGTATTTGGAACCTTGGTAATTGTCAGGGTTCTGCCACTTTGGTCTTGTAAATTCTTGTTTTGGTGGCAGAGCTCTGACACTACTCAATGTCTGGTCCTGTTTCTGTCTCTGTGTGCGCGCGCGCCGCCGTGGGTGTACGCAGGGTGTGCGCGCTGCCACATGATGTGGCCGCGCACGCTCTGCGTCCCTCAGACGCGCGCGCTCTTGTACTAGTGTTTGTGTTTGTTCTGTCAGCAGCGCGCTGCTTTATTCTCGGCGCCTCCGTCTAGTTGGTTTCAGTTTTGGTTGGCGCTGAGATGAAGCATGCGCGTTGCTTATGTGTGAGCGCACGGTAAGGTATTTATCTATCGTGTGCTCGTGTCTTGCGTCTCTTGTCAAAGCACGTGGCTCGGTGTTTACATTGTGGTCACGTGCTTTTGTCGTGTGCTTCAGTGTTGTGTTTGTTATGAACATGCGGTTAATGAGTTCTCTCATTGGCTGCATGTTCTTGTTGTGTTATGTGAGCGCATGGCTTGTATTGTCTCTCTGTGTCATGCGCTCTCCCGTCTATTGTCTTGTCCCACCCTCCTTGTTAACCCATTATTAGTTAATTGTGTTCACCTGTTTGTGTGTTAATTTTCTACACTTTATATACCCCTCACTTTTGCTGTCCTGTGTCAGTTCGTCATCACATTTCGTCGTTTGAAGTCTAGTCCTGTTGTGTTTCCAGTTCTCATCCTTTCCAGTCTGCCCAGTCCTGTTTGTATGTGTATGTATTTGTTTTGTTAATGTTTTCCCCCTCGGGGTAGTTTGTTTTGCATTTTATTTTATTTTTATTATTTAATAAAATCCCATTTCCCTGCATTTGAGTCCTCGCTCCTTTTTCCCCATTTCCCATCACCAACCCTGACAGTATGAACTGACCAAAAAGAGGACTCAGCGGAAATGGGACTATTTCTGCGCCCAGCTTGCTCCCAGCAAGAAGGACCCATCGACCAACCCCCAGCCAGAGGACTGTCTCACAGGCAGAACCATCGCCCCTTTGGCATCTATGCCGAAGATCTTCTTGAGGCAGTCCGGGGGCTTGGGTTCAGTGAGACCACCCTCATCCACATCTTTCTGGCTGGATTGGATGAGCCATTCGATTGGGAGGAGCTGGGTGATATCAGGACATGGACGTTTTGGGAGGTGGTGGACTATTCCTGTCTGAGGATGGAGAGGGAGATCCTGGAGGGGGAATGGACCCCTCTCACCACCAGCACCATCTCCTGGTCCATGTCCAGCCCCCAAGGGTTAACCCGCACCCAAAAGCGGAGGCGGAAGAGAAAGGCCTCTTCTGCGAGGGTTGCTCCAGCCCCTGAGCGCCCTCCAGTGTCGGCTCCAGCCCCTGAGCGCCCTCCAGTGTCGGCTCCAGCCCCTGAGCGCCCTCCAGTGTCGGCTCCAGCCCCTGAGCGCCCTCCAGTGTCGGCTCCAGCCCCTGAGCGCCCTCCAGTGTCGGCTCCAGCCCCTGAGCGCCCTCCAGTGTCGGCTCCAGCCCCTGAGCGCCCTCCAGTGTCGGCTCCAGCCCCTGAGCGCCCTCCAGTGTCGGCTCCAGCCCCTGAGCGCCCTCCAGTGTCGGCTCCAGCCCCTGAGCGCCCTCCAGTGTCGGCTCCAGCCCCTGAGCGCCCTCCAGTGTCGGCTCCAGCCCCTGAGCGCCCTCCAGTGTCGGCTCCAGCCCCTGAGCGCCCTCCAGTGTCGGCTCCAGCCCCTGAGCGCCCTCCAGTGTCGGCTCCAGCCCCTGAGCGCCCTCCAGTGTCGGCTCCAGCCCCTGAGCGCCCTCCAGTGTCGGCTCCAGCCCCTGAGCGCCCTCCAGTGTCGGCTCCAGCCCCTGAGCGCCCTCCAGTGTCGGCTCCAGCCCCTGAGCGCCCTCCAGTGTCGGCTCCAGCCCCTGAGCGCCCTCCAGTGTCGGCTCCAGCCCCTGAGCGCCCTCCAGTGTCGGCTCCAGCCCCTGAGCGCCCTCCAGTGTCGGCTCCAGCCCCTGAGCGCCCTCCAGTGTCGGCTCCAGCCCCTGAGCGCCCTCCAGTGTCGGCTCCAGCCCCTGAGCGCCCTCCAGTGTCGGCTCCAGCCCCTGAGCGCCCTCCAGTGTCGGCTCCAGCCCCTGAGCGCCCTCCAGTGTCGGCTCCAGCCCCTGAGCGCCCTCCAGTGTCGGCTCCAGCCCCTGAGCGCCCTCCAGTGTCGGCTCCAGCCCCTGAGCGCCCTCCAGTGTCGGCTCCAGCCCCTGAGCGCCCTCCAGTGTCGGCTCCAGCCCCTGAGCGCCCTCCAGTGTCGGCTCCAGCCCCTGAGCGCCCTCCAGTGTCGGCTCCAGCCCCTGAGCGCCCTCCAGTGTCGGCTCCAGCCCCTGAGCGCCCTCCAGTGTCGGCTCCAGCCCCTGAGCGCCCTCCAGTGTCGGCTCCAGCCCCTGAGCGCCCTCCAGTGTCGGCTCCAGCCCCTGAGCGCCCTCCAGTGTCGGCTCCAGCCCCTGAGCGCCCTCCAGTGTCGGCTCCAGCCCCTGAGCGCCCTCCAGTGTCGGCTCCAGCCCCTGAGCGCCCTCCAGTGTCGGCTCCAGCCCCTGAGCGCCCTCCAGTGTCGGCTCCAGCCCCTGAGCGCCCTCCAGTGTCGGCTCCAGCCCCTGAGCGCCCTCCAGTGTCGGCTCCAGCCCCTGAGCGCCCTCCAGTGTCGGCTCCAGCCCCTGAGCGCCCTCCAGTGTCGGCTCCAGCCCCTGAGCGCCCTCCAGTGTCGGCTCCAGCCCCTGAGCGCCCTCCAGTGTCGGCTCCAGCCCCTGAGCGCCCTCCAGTGTCGGCTCCAGCCCCTGAGCGCCCTCCAGTGTCGGCTCCAGCCCCTGAGCGCCCTCCAGTGTCGGCTCCAGCCCCTGAGCGCCCTCCAGTGTCGGCTCCAGCCCCTGAGCGCCCTCCAGTGTCGGCTCTAGCCCCTGAGCGCCCTCCAGTGTCGGCTCCAGCCCCTGAGCGCCCTCCAGTGTCGGCTCCAGCCCCTGAGCGCCCTCCAGTGTCGGCTCCAGCCCCTGAGCGCCCTCCAGTGTCGGCTCCAGCCCCTGAGCGCCCTCCAGTGTCGGCTCCAGCCCCTGAGCGCCCTCCAGTGTCGGCTCCAGCCCCTGAGCGCCCTCCAGTGTCGGCTCCAGCCCCTGAGCGCCCTCCAGTGCCGGTCCCAGTCCGGCTCCTTGCCCTGCCGGCACCACCCAGACGTCTTTCCCTGCCGGCACCACCCAGACGTCTAGCCCTGCCGGTCCCAGCCCGGCTCCTTGCCCTGCCGGCACCTACCAGACGTCTAGCCCTGCCGGCCCCAGCCCGGCTCCTTGCCCTGCCGGCACCTACCAGACGTTTAGCCCTGCCGGCCCCAGCCCGGCTCCTTGCCCTGCCGGCCCCAACCAGACGTCTTGCCCTGCCGGCCCCAGCCCGGCTCCTTGCCCTGCCGGCACCACCCAGACGTCTAGCCCTGCCGGCCCCACCCCGGCTCCTTTCCCTGCCGGCACCTACCAGACGTCTTGCCCTGCCGGCCCCAGCCCGGCTCCTTGCCCTGCCGGCACCACCCAGACGTCTTTCCCTGCCGGCACCACCCAGACGTCTAGCCCTGCCGGCCCCAGCCCGGCTCCTTTCCCTGCCGGCACCTACCAGACGTCTAGCCCTGCCGGTCCCAGCCCGGCTCCTTGCCCTGCCGGCCCCCCACAGACCTCTGGTCTTGTTTCCCCTCATAGACACTCCCTGGGTCGTCCCTCCTGCCCCTCCCTGGTGTTCCTTTCCTCCACCCTGGACGGACCCTCCGGCTCCACCCTGGTTCCCTGCTAGGGCTCTCGACCCGCTGGACCCACCCTGGACAGTTCCTCCGGTCCCACCCTGGACTGATCCTCCCTTGTCTTGCCCTCCCATCCCTCCCTTGTTTGTCGTTTTGGGTCTGGCTTGGCTTCCCTCCCTCCCTCCCTTCATGTCGTCTTGTCTGTTCACCTCCCTGTCTTGTGTCTGTTGATGTTGCCTGTTTTGTTGTGTTGTAGTGTTTCATGTCTGTCTTGTACCTTGTTGGATGTTCCCTTTAGGGACGCCAGGTGGCGTCCCTTTTGGGGGGGGCTAGTGTCAGGGTTCTGCCACTTTGGTCTTGTAAATTCTTGTTTTGGTGGCAGAGCTCTGACACTACTCAATGTCTGGTCCTGTTTCTGTCTCTGTGTGCGCGCGCGCCGCCGTGGGTGTACGCAGGGTGTGCGCGCTGCCACATGATGTGGCCGCGCACGCTCTGCGTCCCTCAGACGCGCGCGCTCTTGTACTAGTGTTTGTGTTTGTTCTGTCAGCAGCGCGCTGCTTTATTCTCGGCGCCTCCGTCTAGTTGGTTTCAGTTTTGGTTGGCGCTGAGATGAAGCATGCGCGTTGCTTATGTGTGAGCGCACGGTAAGGTATTTATCTATCGTGTGCTCGTGTCTTGCGTCTCTTGTCAAAGCACGTGGCTCGGTGTTTACATTGTGGTCACGTGCTTTTGTCGTGTGCTTCAGTGTTGTGTTTGTTATGAACATGCGGTTAATGAGTTCTCTCATTGGCTGCATGTTCTTGTTGTGTTATGTGAGCGCATGGCTTGTATTGTCTCTCTGTGTCATGCGCTCTCCCGTCTATTGTCTTGTCCCACCCTCCTTGTTAACCCATTATTAGTTAATTGTGTTCACCTGTTTGTGTGTTAATTTTCTACACTTTATATACCCCTCACTTTTGCTGTCCTGTGTCAGTTCGTCATCACATTTCGTCGTTTGAAGTCTAGTCCTGTTGTGTTTCCAGTTCTCATCCTTTCCAGTCTGCCCAGTCCTGTTTGTATGTGTATGTATTTGTTTTGTTAATGTTTTCCCCCTCGGGGTAGTTTGTTTTGCATTTTATTTTATTTTTATTATTTAATAAAATCCCATTTCCCTGCATTTGAGTCCTCGCTCCTTTTTCCCCATTTCCCATCACCAACCCTGACAGTAATATGAAACAATATATTTTTATTTTTATTACTCAATGCATAATGTAACCTATAAATACAAAGGCTATCAACAGTGTTGTGTAACGCCTTCCACAGTAACCTGTTACTGTAATCTAATTACAGTTTTGAGGAACGCAGTAATGTAAAGAACTACATTTTTAAATTTGTGTAATTTGATTACAGTTACTAAAGTCATTGTAATTGTTACTTGCGTTACAAATATGGTTTTTGAAAAGGAATTGCTTATTTTAAATCATGTTTTCTGCTGTTTCGTCAGTTAATAAGCATGCACTTTTAAAATTGTTGGACCAGCAACTTGTTTAAGCACTTGAATAGAAAGCATTCTATGACAATACTTGTCAAAAGTCAGAACTGACTGATCGGCTTCATGTTTTGAAATATGCACATTTCAGTAGACTAAATACCTCAGACAAACACAGAACACCCAAATACTGCAATGCTTTTTTCATACTATGGATGTCAATGGTTACAGGTATCCAGTTTTCTTCTAAATGTCTTCCTTTGTGTAAAAAAAAGACAAACAGGATTGAAACAAGTAAATGATGAGAGAATATAAATATTTGGGAGAACTCTTTGTCTTCTGAATATACCAAGCTGCTGTGATCAACCCATTGTAATATTTTTCAGTGAATATTAAATTACTGAAAGAGCTAATGGACAGTTTAATGTGTAGGTATATTTTATATGTTTTAAAAGTAACTTTTAAATTAATTTAAAGTTATTATTTAAAATAATAATGATTACTTTTTACATTAAGTAATTTGTAATGTAATCAGATTACAATTTTCCAGTAGTGGTCAGTAATTGGTAATCTATTACTTTTTTAAAGTATCTAACCCAACACTGGCTATTAAGTGTTGATAAAGTGTGTCAAATAAATGGCTTTTTTATGTAGAGGATTCTTTATTAATAAGAACACATATATACTTATACTTCCTTAGCAGAAAATATTCTCAGGGCTTTCATATTTAGGTGAAAATCATCAAAAGTGCTTGTGGTAGCTGGCATGTTTAAAACAAAGTCAAGGAAAGCGTTAAATGCCTGATAAAAATGGCAAAGTGTCTCCCCTGTCCAATTATGATCCTATCAGCCAAAATACATCTTAATATCAGGTATAAACAGGGCCTATTTTTATCAGTCAGCTTAAGTTGAATCTCTGTTGACTGCATTATGTCATAGACATGAACTGATATTTTGATCTTTGGTCATTGAAAAATAAAACATTCTGTAAGTTTCAGAACTCAAAACGTGCTTGTTAATCTTACAACAGCTTACACTGAAGCCAATCCAACTACTTGTGGATAATAATGTGTTTAAAACACCTTTGCGGATGATCTCCATTTTTACATTAC